TCCGGCTCGCTTCGTCTTCGCTCCTGATTTACGCTGCCCTTATTTTATTTAATGATTCACGACCTATTGACGACCTTTAACGACAACTACACGACTTGTAACGTATTACGACGTAACTACCTTCTTCACGAATATATGATTTTATGCCGACCAAAGGGGATGGGAATCATTGGAACAGCTGCGACTCGTGCTGACAATTCGCCTCACCAAGCAAGGTTAGAGGCGCCAAGGGCGACACCTAGTATGTAGCGAGCTCAGAAAAATATCATAGATGCATAGAACATATTGAACGACTCACCAGGCTCTCTGGACGAGTTTTTAGGGTTTAGTCATCACAAAGAAGGCACAGCGCACGGTTGTATTGACATTTCAAACCCCGAAGATTATGTAACAAGGCTGCACTCCGATCAGACCCCCGCGATCACTAACAGACTTCAACAAAACGAGGCACGAGTTGATACCTTGTTGAAGCGTCTGTCTAGGAGAGACTATGTAGACAGCGGCTGTCTTCTGTGGCAGTTTCTACGGTCGAGATATATATTATATTAGTCTTGTTCCAGGTTTTTATCCAGGTGATGATGATGATGATGATGATGATGATGATGAAGTCAATTAGCATGCTCGAGCCGCTGTAAGCGGCTATGGTACACGTTATCTACTAACTAGTGTTTAAGTGAGCAATAAACTGATCTGGACCGTATGTTGCCTGGGTCCCGGACAGCACGTAAAGGGGCTATCCAGGTACCAGGCATGCCCGGAGGGCCTTAGCTATGATCAAAACGCCCGGAAGAAGGCGACGGAAAATGCACTTGAGGTAACGCACCTGCCACCTACCGGTGAAGATATATATATATGGGCTAACGTCTGTATGTTATGACCTATGTAGACATTATTGAGGGTCTTCATCCCCGCTGATTGCAGCCAGTGTACATCTTGCACCCAGAAATATGTTCAAGAAACACTATTGGCCTCGGTCGGTCGGTGAAATTACAAGGTACTAGATAGAGACGTAAGCAAAAATTGATACACGCGAGAGACGGAAAGGGAAGAGAAAAACGAAGGATAGGCTGGTCCGAATTAATTGAGGTTGCCCCAACTCCGGAGCGCACAGCCCAAAGTGTCGTCGTGACTCTAATCCAATTGGATCTGCAGACCAGTATTCCAGCGCATGTAATTTCCTGGCTATGATACCACTTCGCCATGAGCATCGGTATGACCAGATAACCCAGAGAAAGTCCAGACAACTGGAGCAGCAAGTCGGAGTAAGTCCTTGCGTCCTCGGCAAGTCCTCGGCAGCTGAAAGATGGAGTATTCAAGAAGGGTTTGAACATGGTCAGCGAGTGTTGCTATCTACGAAGCGGTGGCGGTACAGTAGCTTGAAGCTAGCTTGAAGTTGGCTTGAAGTCATTCAAGAAGGCTGTGTAACGGAAGGAGTCGGATCAATCCGGCTAGACTGACATCATTCTCCTGCTTTCTCCTTACTAACCTCTGGGACCGATGAAGGCTGGATAACTCGGCCTCACAGCCTCGAAATTGCCTGGCATGAGAGAGTGTCCGTCACCGAAAATGGCCCCTAGGTTCCGGAACAAGTATTGGCTGCAGTAAAACCTGCAGATAAATTAAAATAGCTATTGTAAGCCACCATACACTCCGTCTCTCCCAGTCGTACCCCAATTGCTTGCAGTTAGTTAAGCAGCGTAACAAGCGCATGGATGTCAAGTCAACCTCCTGTCAGTCGACGTCCTCCGGCAGTCCTCAGGGCGATTAATTCGCACTGCCACATTGTGGCTTTTAAAGCGGCGATCTCTGGTTCTGCGCGCCTCCGCTAATATCATCCTCATCCAAGCGATGGCTGGCAACCCAAACACAATAATCGTGCTGGGCCCTTCTCCCGAATCATACTATGTCGGCTATGGGCGACGTCACTTTGTCGAAAATATGTCGCCATCGTTTACAAACCATGCCAAGACGGCGCTGAACATCACCATGAGTCGGTGGATAAGGTCTGCCTACCCGCTTATGCCGCGATATTTGCTCATAGGCTCGACAGTGTAAGCAAGAACGGCGACTGGATTGACTACAACGTTGCCACCGATAATTGTGCGTCAATTTGAGCCGGTATCTTATCCAAACTAACCTCGATAGCAGTCCACTTCAACGCCGATATTGACCAAACTATCCGCGACCACCTCTCTGGCGCTAATGGCAAGGCCGCTGCAGAATTTGTCTCCTTCCCCGACAGCGAGGAGCGCAGCTACTTCTTCGTCAACGGCAAAAACCGCGGCGCGTGGAGCGCCGTCCTCTCGGATTACCACATCCAGCGCCTGACAGGCCTGCAGCGCGAGGTGCCGAATTTCGACTTGGGTATTACTGGCGTGCTCTTCGGGAAGGGAAATACGAATATCGTCTGCTTCCAGGCTGGGTTCATGGCGGATCTCGACGACGACGAAATCGACTCGGAGGACCATCCGTTGTACAAGGTGAGCCACAGAGGCATTGCATTGGCAAAGCCCATTTACAATGATCTTGGGCAATAGGTACTTTCTGAATTTAGCAAGGAGGAAGGATGGTGCCTCGAACGCGGGTCGACGCTGTGTTGTTACGACAGCCAGTTCTACTTTCTAAAATTCAAGAAAGCTGGGGACAACACCCTACGCATGCGGTGGAATCTCCCTGTCCATGTCGCCGCAAAGCTCACAGAGCTCAAAGAAATCGCACAGAAACCCGAGGAACAGATGGGTATATAATCTCTCAGTTGACACTCCGAATCTCATTGTATGTAGCGTTAATGCAGGAAGACCAAATGTGGATGCAGGTGGCGCAGACGCGGATGGTGCGTATTTCTCGTAGTTTTGCCTTACAACCAAATGTCGATGCTCGCCATGCAGAACGGTCAGATCCAGATGAACAATATGCTGAACCAGACTATGATCCGTGGAGGTCTCAGCTTTCTTGCTGCGGCGACTGGTGGAACAATTGTGGAAGAACGGCGATATTATTGACGACATCGCCGAGGAATATGTGTAGACTCTACTTGTAATCTTGCAACGAGGCGGATGGGACTGTCTCGTGAGTTCCTTTTTTACACACTGAGATGAAAAGTCACCCACTTACGGAGCCGTGAATGGAATGCAATAACTCGGATGTGGTGCACGATAAATTTCTGGCCATGAAAACCGACTAGGTTCGGATCAAGCCGCCGTTCATTGTTTGGTGATGCGGGCATCGTTTGCGAGCAACTCCAAGATAGACCGGATATCCGGTCCGGAGAGTGGGTTGATCCGAACCTAGACTACAATAACTCGTACCTCGCTAGTTGTAATCAATTCTGTTGTCGCGCCACTTGACGCGTCTCCATCATGCAGATGTCTTCATGTAGTTATAGGGCCAGTGAGGAAGATAATGCATATATTCTTCGTGTCTATAACAGAACGGGAATAGCCTGGCCAGCAGCAGAGAGCGAAAAGCGATCCAGGACGACGGATGTGGCTGTGATGACGACGATCCGAGCTCTCATCAGTGATGTCGCTTCGCCAGATCATATTGAGAGATCCACCTCTTGGAACTCGTACTTAATTTTCCCAATGGAACTCATCGGTTGAGCAATGAGCTCCAAGTAACTCAAGTTTGGGATTCAGTTCAAGTGAGTCTGGCATAGAAAACGCCAACAGCTTCGCTGATTTCACGGTTAATATTGCACAAGCAAGGAAGGCTATCAATGACACCGTCTTTAGACCCTGTTAGGATGCCGTCGTGGATTCCTAGGTACATGTGTAGGGTAGCGTTCCGAGTGCGCCGAGCGTCCAGTTTTCTCTTCGGCGGTGTATATGCTTTCACCGAAGTGACTATCGCTGCATATTTGGTCGAGATAGCAGCCAGGGAGAATAATACAGATGTATTTCTGGCTCCTAGTGGCCCCGAAAGGCAACAAAGTGCATTGAAGCAGTGCTTTTTATTTGAGGTTGACTCCCAAGAATGCCAAATGCCTGATCGGCAAGCCATCCACAATTGCAGGCGGCCGGCCGATGACAGTATGACTGGGATTGCCGATCCGAGATACCCGATACAAAATGTTCTTCTAGTAAAGGAGTTTTTTTTACCCCAGTCAGCATTTATGTGATGGGAAAACAAACAAGTACAAGTACTCAGCCACTATTGAGACTAGATTGTTTTGAAGCGAATTGAAGCACCGTCACTAAAAACATCAAGCACTGCCACTGAAAAGTCCCTCAACGTTTCTTGGCATCTAATGAAATGAATGATTGAAATGGCCCGAAGTTATGAAAGGGACGATAACATATGTAAACATGAGCATTTCAAATTTTTCACTGAGTTTTTTGGTGTTTATTTTTCACACTTTTTCACTTGAAATTGTAAACCTTACTTACGGATCAGTTGATCACATGACCTAAACCTCTTGCTTCCTTACTACTCACTACGACCTATGAGATCTTGAATATACAGCCTGGTCTGGTTTATTTCCTGGTTCCTTTGACTTAGTGTTTCTTACCATATCCTATACGGTGAGTTTCCAGAAATGTATCTGAAAAATTTATAACTTTTTCAGTACTTTTGGGGCTTTACTGAAAAACTTTGTATTTTTCACAAAAGTAACTTATTGAAAAAGAAGAAAATCTTTCAGACACAGTTTCAGTGAAAAAAGTGGGAAAAATGAAGGAAGTTTTTCACTCAGTGAAAGTTTTGAAATGCTCAACCTAACATTACAGACGTTGCAAAAATCAAATTGCTGCGCGCGAGGGTTTTTCCTTTGTTTTCTCTCAAAAACTTCAAATGACCCTATTGTGTCCAGTTAGTCAAATGGTGGAGAATAACTCGGATGTGGTACATCAGCTCTGTATTTGACGCAAGAATGTTTGCATGCTGAAGCCAGGGTTCGACTGCCTGCATCTGAATTCCTTCTTCCCCAAGCCTTTTTGCTTTAAGTACCCCGAAACGGCCGAAAATATCTCTCTGGCATGTTTCAAATGGTGGATAATAACTCGAATGTGGTGTATGGTGCACATCAACCTCTCAAAGCTTCATGTGTGGTGCCCGAAGAATAGGCTGCTGGAGACCAGGGTTCGACTCCCTGCATCTGAATTCCCTCTTCCGCTGGCCTTTTTGTTATAATTGCCGCGAAATTGTCTCCCAAAATACTTCTCTGGAATGGTTCAAATGGCAGTGAATAACTCGGATGTGGCGCGCGGTGCACGTCAGCCTTTTATTCGCTAAAAGAATGAAGTCTATACGCTGAAGGCCAGCATTCAATTCCCTGCATCCGAATCTGTTGTTGGTTGACATATCTTTTTTCTTCTCATAATTATAAGGTCCTCTTCCAATATTATCTCTCTAGCTAGTAGCAAGGTTCCAATGATGAAGAATAACTCGGATGTGGTGTACAGCTATTTCTGGGGAGGAAAAATGTAATGCTGAAGCGCTGAAAGTCAGGATTCGACTCCCTGCATCTGAATTCTCTCTTCCAAGCGCCCTTTTTGTTTTAATTTCCCCGAAATGGTCTCCGAAAAGATTTCTCTGGGAAGGTTCCAATAGTGGTGGATAACTCGGATGTAGTGTATGGCGCACATCGGCTCTCTACCCGAAAGACAGACGAGGGAGTCCGGGCTGAAGGTCGGGGTTCGACTCCCTGCATCTGAATGATTGGTCTCGTTGGACGCATTTTTTCTTTCTTCTTCTACTAAAGCAGCTTGCAAAATATCCCTCTGGTGAGGTTCAAATGGTGGTAAATAAGTCGCATGTGGTGTATGGTGCACACCAGCTCTTTATTCAACTGGGGAAAACATATGATCTAGAGGCCAGGGTTCAACTCCCTGCATCCGAATGGGTCAATGGCTCCTCCTTTTTGTTTATTCTTAGAGGGAAATTGCCCAGGTCCCTGAGCGCGACTCGGAGTGACCTAAAAATGTTCTTCAAAGAACGAGTGGGACAAACAAGAAAAGGTGGTTGGATCGATTTCGGACTATATATATGAGGGGCCGTTGAGGCGTGGGATCCATGGGGATCCATGGGAAAACAAGACAAGGCCTTGGACAAGGCGCGTGGGAAAGCTTTTCCTCCGCTCAGCCCTTTTCAGATTTCTGATTGGCTGCGGCTCATCGATGAATGTGGCACAATAATGTCCAAGAAACGGAGAGGCAACGCTGAACCAATAGTCTCGCTGGTAGGGCTGCCGCCCGTTGCCGTTGCCACGGCTCAACGGCACCCGTGGAACGGGTGCCGTGCCCGTTCCGTAGAGGATTCTGATCGTTCCTCCAGGCACGGTCACGGGACGGGTGGGACCCGTTTTTACCCGTCGAAAAGACGGCCGCCACGGTAGCACTACGGCTCCACGGCTCGCTGCTTTTCAGCGCCTATCACTCCCAAAATCACCCTAGTAAGCCCAATTTGTCATTTTAGCTTTCTCGGGAATCATTAAGATGTCTGTTCCGAGATGAGGCGGCAACTTTTGTTGCCTGCAAGGACTCATTCCCGACGCGCTTTTACGCGCTATATTGGACATAGAGCTCATATGCACACCGGCCTATGCGTTGAACTTGTTGTAAGCTCTTAGGAGCTACTTTTTCTTGAACAAGGAACGGGAAAGCTCCGATCTGTTCACAAGGTATGCCTCTTTTTTTCGTGATATTTCAACACTAAACCATCTCTAGCTTAGGAAGATCATTCGCTCCATCCGCGCAAGCCCACAACGTCGCCAGGAATGGACTCTGGAGGTGCAACTTTCTCCAGACTTTGTCGCAGGCAAGCTTGGGAAGCAGCCTCTGATGCCCATCTTGGATGTCAAGACTCGCTGGTCATCGACTCACCAGATGCTCCGTACGAGTACCTCTTATACCACTGCGTAGCTATTTAATTATGTCCTTTAGGCCGTGCAATCGATCATCGAAAAATCATCGACGACTTCGTTGGAAAGCATCGCGATCTCCATCAATGGGATCTTACACGAAATGACTGGGATGGCATCATTCTCGTTACTGGGTGGTTGAAGTCCTTCCGCACCGCTACAACCCTCATGTCCACCACGAAGCGCCCGATGCTCTCGTTCACTCACACAATTTTCCGTGGCCTCCAGGAGGATTTGCGTACAAGCTTGAAAGAGCTCCCACTCTCCACGCCTTCTGTGCTTCGAAACGGACTCCTTGATGCGCACCGCAAGCTCAGTGATTACTATTATAAAATGGATCAGTCGCCTTATTACACCTGGGCTGCGCGTGAGTCTTATCCAACTCTTCTTTTACTCAACTCTTTCTCATGATTTCAAGTCTTGGATCCTCGCATTTCATACGAGGGCCTCAGGTCGGATTTTTGCCTTGATGACGATCTCGGAACTCAGCTGGAGGCTTCCAAGACTGCCCTCGACGCTTACTACAATGCGAACTACGCTGGGAAGAACCACAACATTATTTCGGTTGCCGCGCCGGTTGCTTCTTCTTCTGCCCATCAGCCCGTGTCCCCGCAGAAGGACTTCACCGCGAGGTACCGCGTCGAGCGGCGCGTTATTACTAACGAGCTCAGAGAGTATTACAGCCTTCCCCGTGAGGATTTCGCCGGCTGTGATCCCGTTCAGTGGTGGTTTGCCCGTAAAGCCCAGTTCCCTAATCTTTTTTGTCTCGCTCGCGATATCCTTTCCATTCCCGGTATGTTTCTATTTTATAAATAGTTGAACTGTGTACTGATTCCATGTAGGGTCTGCGGTTGCTGTGGAGCGCATTTTTTCGGGTGGCCGTGACACCATCTCTCTGAGGAGAGCGAGCCTCAAGCCCGACACCATCAGAACACTTATGATGGTCAAACAGCGTCTTCGACTTACACGCAACGCTGTCCAAGAGATCATGGGGTAGTTCTTTGGTAGTTTAATTATCTCTGTGCACCCTGAATGAATTTTCTTTCCTGCATCGAGAAGTCTTGAGCACAATTAAAAATAATTCGGCAATGGGCGCTTAACCATCGAGCTTCCGATGAATTAGCGCCAATTATTTGATGTACTTTCAATGTAAAAATGATAGCAGCCCAGCTGGTTCGAACCGTACACCACTGTAGCGCAACACAAATACCTACTGAGCCACAATAACCAATACAGACAGTGATAGAAAGCCATACACACCATGCTTTTTCAGATCCACGGCCCGTGCTACCGTTTACGGCCGTCCCGTTGACCGACCCGTCCCGTGAGAGCTCACAACCTTCAGTCAATGGGCCGTCGAAACCACGGCCGTGCCCGTCGCATACCCGTCGAATCAACGGCCGTTGCCGTCACGGCAACGGGTGGCAGCCCTACTCGCTGGCCTACCGGAACTGGGAGCGCTGGTGTTGATCGAACTTCAAGTTGCTCATGTCGCAAATTTATCTTTAAGCTTACAAGAAGCTTATATTACGAGCCTTATATAATAAGCTTAGCAACACATAAGCACTGAAGCCCGCGCCCACAACTAACGCGGCCAAAATTTGTTTTAAAGCCTGTGTTGCGTTTGAGCCGTGCACCGCCAGTATTTCATGTCCAAAATGATGTTTTCAATGGAAATTTTGATTCTGCACACCACAATATCCCAATAGCTGCGATCCTAACGAAAAAAAAAAAAAATCATCTTATGCGAGATCTTTATTCCGATAAGAAGCTTTAAGGGGCACAGCTCTTATGGCCTTATAAAGCCTTAGAGCGCCTTATTGGCGAAATCACTAAGTTGGGACACATGCTGCTCGGATTATCCTGGAGAATCGCAGTTTTTTAACCATCTATATCGCCAGAAAAAGCTCAACGCGGAATACAATCCCAGTCCAAAAAAGGCCAAATTGCGAATCTCAATGCTGGCGGCCCACTATAGCACCCACTGTTCCTGGCGCTTATGGGATTAATACTTGCCTTCCTCAACTTCTAAAGTCGTGGCCGTGGTGAATGCATTGGATTCGGCGTTCATGCCTGACAATACCTCATCCAAGAGTCAACGGAATTCCTCACGCCACCTCGTGCCATCTTCTGGCCCTGTTCTTGTCCTTTATTCAGTGTATCAAAGTTTCATCGATCCCGCCTCACGTTATCTCCGGCTTTCTTGAGCGGCTACCCGGCCTTCACGGTGTCAACGGGGAGAAATTTTCATTGTCTAGTTTTGCGTCTCCAATATTGGCCTCATCAAGAGGCCGATCTTCTCGAAACCTCCGCTTTACGGTTATGGCCACAAGTTATTTTGAGCGGATCCGGTTTCAATATCAACGCGGCCGCCTCGCATCAAGAGGACAATCTCCTTGATTGTCGCATTTCGGATGATCTACTGAGGATTGCTTTTACGAACATCAAACACCTTGGCTCGATCTTGGCACCAGCATTGACCTATAGGCCCTGCCGACTTAATGTTCCCAGGATGACTGCCACTTCTATTTGCCTTAATTGAAGTTGTAGACGCAGTGCCACATCAGCAAAATGACAAAACACTTGCGCACTTGTACACTTGTTTTTCTTGTTCCCCCCCAAAAAAGACTGTGGAAATGGGTCCTGGAAGTTAATGCACACTTTTAAAAAAATAGAAAAAAAACCACTTGTTGGGTTTCGAACATATCGGCTTGTCAACTTGTGGTCTTTTTTTACCTGTACAAGCTTGTACAAGCTCCAACAAGTAAACTGTTAAAACCCCGATGCAGCGAAGCTCCCGGTTTGTGAGACGTAAATGCTTCCGCATCACGACCATCCTCATTTGAAGAATTGTTCATCTTACTCTCGATTTCACGGGCTGGTGTTGCGGAGCTGCGGCAGGATCGCTGGATCACTTAAGGCTTCTATCTGGCTATTTTCGTACCCAATGGTTGTCTGCGTTCTGCACGAATCTCTCACAGATCAACGACCGGTACTCGTGATCTGGACTTCTATCTGCGGCGTTTGAGGTGTTGTGGAGCAGCGTAGATGGGTGGCGCTCGAGGATCCGACGTTATTGGGTTGAATGCCTAGCGACATCCGCGATTTGGGTTCTTGCTTCTCCTGGCTAGTCCACGTGGAGCAATGCCTCATCCGCGCCGCATGAAATTTGATGCCAGTCCTATGTATAAGAGAAGATGAATGGACGCCACCTTCCTCTACGCCACAATGTCCACCCCGACTACGGTGACCCTTGCACAATTGTGAGTCCATCCCCACCCCATCCCTCTGTAAGCGCCACTAAAACACGGACAGAACAGTACCCATCGTCAGTACTGTTCATTTCAAGCATGTGTTTCTGATTTTCATATTCTTATACGCTTCCTAGTTTGTTGGCACCGTTTTGAACTGGGCGTTTTTCGGGGTTCTCTGCGTTCAAGTCTGTAAGTACCCTGGCCACACGCAACTACGTTTGAATTCTTAATCACACGTAGGCATCTACTTCATCGCCTTCTCCCAGGACCCAAAATTACTGAAATCGCTCGTTGGATTCATCTGCGTTGCGGAGGTCGTCCAGATAATTACCGATACTCGGAATACTGTCCGGATTTTCGGAGCTGGATGGGGGAACCACGAGATGCTGGACGAAGTGGGCTGGGCGTGGTTCAGCACCCCCATTTTCGGTACATTCAGTACGTGGGCTACTCCGTTCCCAGAAAATTTGGCATTGAAGCTATGTCTAGTTTCCAGCATCGGCCAGCTCTTCTTTGCATGGCGCATACACACTTTCTCAAAAAAGCACCGCGTCCCGGCCCTAATTGCAACGGTTGAGTAACTTCCGCGTTCTATCCAAATAATCTCATTCTGCTATCACAGATCACTGCAGCACAAATGGGTGCTGGTATATGGACGGGTATCCAAATCCTCAATGCGAAGAATTTTTCTGTGCTACAGGAGCAGACTATGACAGCCACCACGGTCCGTTCGAGTTTAAACAGCTGCCATCTGAGTCATCCGATATATTAACCATCTGTGCTACGTTCAGGTCTGGCTCACCACGACGTGCTCAGCGGACCTGACGATCGTGGCTGGGATGGTGTATTATTTAGTGAAGTCGCGAACTGCTTTCCAGCAAACTAATATTGTGCTCGCACGGCTGATCGGAGTGGGTGGACTCGCACTGCTTCCTTCTTTGAGCCGCGTGTAGACTGACTGTTGCGCATCACCAGCTTACAGTGGAAACCGGCGTTCCCTGCGCAGTGTTTGCCCTAGTTGACCTCCTCCTCTTCGCAAAATTTAAAAGCACGAACTACCACCTCGCCGTGTGCATTGGGATGTCCAAGGCATATTCGAATAGCGTCCTGTTGGTACGTCGTCCCTCATCTCCTCGATATGCGGATGTCTGGGCTTAATATATTACTAATGACAGATCCTCAACTCGCGAGCAATAATCAAGTCAAGGGCGCTCTCCACGGAGCCCAGCATGCACTTCATGTCGGACGTCATGTTTAAAATGAGTGAAACTGCAACCTCCAGGACAGCAGCGGCACGCAGCGGGGTTTCCCACAGCGAGACGCATGAACTTGTGACTATGAATGACGAGGAGTCGAAAATCGCGCTGTAATGTAGCGGTGGCAGTATGTAGGCAATATAATTAGCAAATATACTATGATATCAAGGCGTCAAGGTCTTGCATTGAGAGGCGATTTTGGTGGCGACCTTGATGGCGGGCGCGCGCAGGCGCCGCAGCCGGTTGATGGCAGCGAGGGCGCAATTGTAACTGTACATTGCATGAATCGAGCCCATCTGAATATCTAAGGTTTGTTCAGCTCCGCATGTTTTCCTTGTCCTGGATTCATCCTAAATCCTTCAACAGTTCTCCCATCCCATCCTCACCGCTCAACTCCGCCGTCCGGTTTCGTCCTCTTCCCCCCCTCCCGGCGTCCCATTCCATCCATCTTCCCTCCTTTCCCTCCCCTGCCTCTTGAGTCGATGTCTGATTATTTGTTTCAGCCAACAATAAAAATTCAACAGTCAAGTCCAGAGGAAAGCCAATGATCTCGTCTTCCTACGCGAAGAGCGTAATCACCCGGTATTTCCACCTGCCGAATCTTGACCAGAGAGCAAATAAAATCAGAGGAGGAGGCTTTCAGGACCACATGTTCCGTAACATTCGGAGTCGGAAGTAAACCTTCAGATGTTAAAAACAAGATCAATCACGCCACTTTTGAATTTCCGTTACCTTGCTTGCCTCCGACGCTGACCACCGTCGCCATTGAACAACGGCGACGACGATCGTGGCCTCCTATAAACGATCCTATCCTCTTCATACGATTCATTACTTGTCCGTACTCGAAAGTACCAGCAAAAATTCTAAATCGACGTGAAGACGAGTAATCTACAATGCGCATGGAGCACCACATCCGGCGGGGTCACCCCAGTGAGCGCCCCTTTTTTCTGCCTGAAAGGACGTGGATTGACGGATATTTGCAGTAACATTCGGCCTCATCACTCTATTTGGATTATTTGAGGTGCGCATGTGCTGGTATTCGTGGCCGCTCCAGTTGCTAATGCTTTCAACCCAGTTGGCGCTCACCGCATGGCTCACAAACGCGCTTTGCGGGTCAGCACGACGAGCGCAACCGCACCGAGCGGGACCGCGTCCATTTCGCGCTCTTTGCGTCTGTGGACCGTCGCGCTCTCCACGCTCATGATGCTGCTGTTTTGGCATTCGCCCGACGGGAGCAAGCTGACCAGCGTGCTTGCGCATTTGGTGTTGTAAGTGCCCTCCCCATAAACATACCTCTGGTAGTATAGTTGAAATAGTAGGAATAATTCGGATATTATGTACAGTGCACATTAACTATTTCTATTATAGAAGAGAGATCTTATAAGCTACAGGTCAGGGTTCAACTCCCTACATCCGAATCCACTTAGTAATTCTCTTTAAACCCTGAGATAAAAACTCACCCACTTACCATGCCCTGGGAGGAATGAAAAAAAAGGGATGTGGTGCATAGTGCACATCAGCCTAATATGTACCGTAGAGAATGTCGTAAGCTGAAGGTTGGGGTTCGACTCCCTGCATCTGAATTTCCTCTTCCCCTAGCCGTTTTGTTTTAATTACGGCTCGTATCCTTGCATCTTTATTCCTCTCTGTGGGATGTTCCCTTTTCTTTGTCAACTGGCGTGAAAAGTCATCTCCTTCCCGAGCTTTAAGAGGAGTATAATAATTCAGATGTGGTGTATGGTGCACATCAGCTCCTTGTGTTGGGCAGGTATCGGTTAGCTGAAGGTCAGGGTTCGACTCCCTGTGTCCGAATCGCGTTTCTTGGAAGGGTTCATTTTTTAAACACCGAGATGAAAAGTCACCCACTTACCAAGCTTTGAAAGGAATGTAATAACTCGGATGTGGTGTAGGGTGCACATCAGCTCCTTGTTTTGAACTGTAATCGGTTAGCTGAAGGCCAGGGTTGGACTCCCTGCATCCGAATGGTGCGACTTCTGCCATCTTTTTTATTTTGTTATTCAACAAATCCTTGCCCCCAAAATATCTCTCTGTCATGATTCAAATGGTGGTGAACAACTCGGATGTGGTGTATGGTGCACATCAGCTCTTCATTTGAGGTCAATATCTTGCATACTGAAGGCCTAGGTTCGACTCCCTACATCCGAATAACTGGGCTGTGTTGTCGCATCTTTTCTTTCTTCTTCTACAAACACCTCTCCTTCTGGCATGGTTCAAATAGTGAAGAATAACTCGGATGTGGTGCATGGTGCACATCAGCTTTTCATGTTGGCATGCTACATGACATAAGCTGCTGAAGTCCAGGGTTCGACTCCCTGCATCCGAATGGCCAGGCTTTCAAAAACTTTTTTTCTTTTTTAAAAGACAAAATTTCCCACTTACCCAGCTTTGAAAGGAAATGTAGCAACCCGAGTGTAGTGTATGGTGCACATCGGCTCTTCATGCACCACACCTATTCTCCCATGCTGAAGGCCAAGGCTCGACTCCCTGCACTTCCAAACTCCCTTGTCCGCCGCGATTTTTTTGTAACTACCCGAAATTGTCTCTGAAAATATGCCTCTGGCAAGGACCAAGTCAGAATTACTCGGATGTGGTGTGTGGTGCACAGCAGCTTCTATTCGGTGTGTGGGACCCAAGTATAACTGAAGGGCAGGGTTTGACTCCTGTATCTCTTGTTTTTTAAACACCGAGATGAAAAGGCGCCCACTTATTGAGCCTCGAAAGGAAGGGAATAACTCGGATGTGGTGTATGGTGCACATCAGCGTTCTATTCTCAGCCAGCGGCTAATATACTATAAGTTGAAGATCGGGGTTCGATTCCCTGTATCCGAATTTGCCGATGGTCTCTATTCTCTTGCCCAACTCAGAGGTGAAAATTTACCCACTTACCGAGCCTCGAAAGGAAGGGAATAACTCGGATGTGGTGTATGGGCACATCAGCTCCTTATTGAGATCGCTTGGTGCATCCGCGCAAGCTGAAGGTCAGGGTTCGACTCCCTGCATCCGAATGACAGTTCAAAATTCGCCCATTTTTTTCTTCCGCAAAATCCTCTTGTTAATTATTCTAGCTCCACCTTTTGTTTCTTGTGCTCGGTTCTGGTCCCATAATGAGCCTACATGCACTTGTCGCATCATATTAAGGTTGTCCCACTTCTGCAAGATAATTTTGATGGGCATTATGCTCCACAACCGTTTCCCGAAAGGCCATCGGATTTCACATGGGGAATCCTCACCATATGAATTACAATGGGCTAAAGTTTTATAATTTTTGAGCTTCAATTGCGCTCGCAGGAACATGGCCGAGGTGGATCAACCAAATACGGGCTTATGCAAGACCATCAAAAACAGGATATGCTTTTCTGGTGGCCGCAAATCCGCCTGGAATGCTCTACAAACCCCGACGGAGTTATTCCTTATATTATAAAAAGTGTCTCGCTTTTTTCATGGGGACTTTCAGCTCATATTTCAGCTGCTACATCGACATCTTACATCAGTGGGCTCCTATTCCATGACCGTGCGAACTACAACGTCATCATGCACCGCCACATATTTTTACGAGTGGTCTAAGGCGATGATAGATTGCGCCAGTAGTGTACACTGTACACAATTGTTTCTACCCCAATTCTACTGCGTAGCCCGAGGCACAACTATTACGATTACGATGCAGCCCACAACGACGACGACGACGACGATGATGCCGACGCTCAAGACGATGCAGCCCTCCATGGACATCTAAGCCCAGGCGCCGCTCAACGAGAAGCAACGGTACCTCCACGCACACGACGACGAGCAATGGCGCGCGCACCCGCATGCCCACTCGCATGCGCACCAAAACCACAACCACGCCCTGCGGCGCGCGCTCCTCCCGCGCTGCTCCTCCTCCTCGGCCTCGCGGGGCTGCTCGCCATCTCGTGCGTCGTCTCTGGCATGCATGCGAGTGAAAGCGGTGGTGTGGGCGAGTGGCTGGGCGGGCTGGTGCGCTGCGCGGTAGACGACGGCCCTGCGGGGCCCAACACCGAGTCGGACTTTACGAAGCGCAAGTGTACGTCTTTCTTTCTTTGTGCATGCATTACGTGGGGTGCCAACGCGGAAAGCCAGTGTACCTCATCGTCATCTTCGTCGGCCTGGTCGTCGTGCTCATCCTCGGCGTCATGCTCAGCGCGTGGTGTTGCAAGGATGCGTATTACTGTCTCTCGCTGTCCAGTATCCGTTCTGATGCCGATGGTTCAGGCGCATTCGAGAACCTATGCTGCTGCCCATGCTACCTCTGCGCGTGCTGCGGCGGTCTAGGTGAGTCGTCTCGTCTTTGTGTCCTCCACTTTCTTTCTCTTTCTGTTCCCTTCCTCCCCTTCCCTTGCGTTTCCTATTGTATCCCTTATCGCCCGCCTTCTTTTCTTTTGTGTGGCAATCGCCTGGCATCGCGAACGCGTCTCGCCGGCGCGTCTCCCGTCCCCATCCGCGGCACGACGTCGTACATCGGCCATCGACCATGAGGCGCGTACATGCTGCGCGACCAGCCTGCTATTCCCATGCAGCATCAGCTTGTCCTTCTTGGACGGGCATGAGCGCGCGCTACCTCCCAACTACCTTTCGTACTCGTCGGCGCGGGATTCGCGCTGCGTCGATCGTTGGCGCGACCTTTACGCTGTGTCGATGGTTTGTGTCTCGTGGTGGCGGTGGTGCACCATGGGATGCGCGCGCGCCGTGATATATGAACCTCATTCGTGTCTTGCGTCCTGCGTCCGCTGGCGATTTACGTCGGCTGGGTACGCGTGTCGCGCGCTGCCCTAGCTACACGCCGTACTTGTCGGCGCTGGATGTGTGCTGCGTGGATGGTCTGCGCCTGCGCGTCGTCGATGGTCCTCAGAGGGTACGTCATGGCGGCGGATGCGCCCGTGTGCTGTCGCGTCGTCCTGGGTGGGCACGCGTGCTGCTACGCCTGGCAAGTACGCCGCGTGGCGGCGTAGCCAACGCTGCCTCGTCTCTCCGTGTCTGCGACAAGGGTGCGTGGGGTGACCTCTTTTCGGGGCACACCGCTCTTGCTGCGACGTCGGTATGGCGGCGTTCCGTCAACGTGGGGCGCGAGCGACCGATCCCCTGCGTCGGTGCACGGTGTTGGTGCTGTGTCGGCGTAGCTTCCGAGCCCGCGCGCACGTCGCGTGTCGGTGGCTTCTGCGTCGACGGCGGATGCGTGAAGGTGGTGCCGCTTCTGGATAGGGCGTTCGGTGCGACGGCGTACTCGGATGCTACGACGATTAGACGTGTCAGGTCAGGGGCGACCTTTTGTCTTGGGGCGGACGCCGCTATCGCTGCGACGTCCATGTGGCGGCGTTCTGTCGGCGTGGCGGCGCGATTGTGTATCTTTTGGACGTGCGAACGAGGGAGCTCCAGCGTCGACTACGGAGTTGGTGCTGCATCGTAGCTGGAGCTTCCCGTCCGCAGTGAGCGCGTCGTTTGATGAGCGATTCTTCGCTCGCCCCATCATCCACCCCTCGCTTCGCATGCACTTCCCACCCCGCGGTCCCCCGCGCATGTGTGAGGAAGGAGCGTTGCTGGGAGGAGCGTAGTAGACCCGCAATGGGTTGGGCGGAAATGTCTCGAGTCTTGTTCCTCTATTTTGTGAAAAACAAAAGTTGTACTCCCCGCATCCAAATTACCTCTGTCCATAGCTTGTTTAATTAACCTAAAATTGTTTTCGAAAATATGCTTGTACCGAGAGGGACAATTGGCGATGAACAACTTTTTTGACTTCAAGTTATAAGATCGTCTACCAAAAATATGCCTCTGGTATAGTTCAAATAAATGGTGGTGAATAATACGGATGTGGTGTATGGTGCACGTCAGCTCTTCATTATCCTAGTCCTAGATCTCCATAAGCTGAAGGCCGGGGTTCGACTCCCAGCATCCGAGTTCCCCCTTTCCCCCGGGTTTTTCTTTTTGGTAATTACCCGACATTGTCTCCGAAAAGATGTCTCAGGCAAGGGTCAAGTGGTGAAGAATAACTCGGATGTGGTGTATGGCGCACATCAGCTCTGTATTTGACACGGGAATGTTTGCATGCTGAAAGCCAGGGTTGGACTCCCTGCATCTGAATTCCCTCTTCCCTGGGCCTTTTTGCTTTAAGCACCCCCGAACGGCCGAAAATATATCTCTGGCATGGTTCAAATGGTGGAGAATAACTCGGATGTGGGGTAGTATGGTGCACCTCAGCCCTTCAAAGCTTCATGTGTGGGGACCGAAGAATAGGCTGCTGGAGGCCAAGGTTCGACTCCCTGCATCTGACTTCCCTCTACCCCTGGCCTTTTTGTTTTAATTGCCGCGAAATTGTCTCCCAAAATACCTCTGGAATGGTTCAAATGGTAGTGAATAACTCGGATGTGGTGCACGATGCATGTCAGCCTTTTATTCGCTGTAAGAAATCGCTCTACACTCTGAAGGCCAGCGTTCAATCCCCCGCATCCGAATAGGTTGTTAGTTGACGCATCTTTTTTCTTCTTATAATTATAAGATCTTCTCCAAATATTATCCTTCTAGCTAGTAGCAAGGTCCCAATGATGAAGAATAACTCGGATGTAGTGTATGGTCAGCTATTTCTGACATGGAAAAATGTAACGCTGAAGCGCTGAAAGTCAGCGTCCGACTTCCTGTATCCGGATTATTGCTGTTCCGACTTTTCATTTTCGGGACCATAAAAGCCTCCTTACAAACATGCCTCTGGCAGGGTTCAATTGGTGAAGAATAACTCAGATGTGGTGTATGGTGCACATTAGCTATAGATATTGATATCCTCATATTGAAGCTGAAGGCCAGGGTTCGACTCCCTGCATCCGAATGGGGCGATAAGTAATCTTTTTTATTTTGTTATTCAACAAAATCCTTGCCCTCAAATATCCCTCTAGCAAGGTTCAAATAATGAAGTATAACTCGGATGTGGTGCATGGTGCACATCAGCTTTTCATGTTGTCCCAAACATGGCATAAATTGCTGAAGTCCAGGGTTCGACTCCCTGCATCCGAATGAGGTTTTTCTATTCGGTTTTTTTTCTTTCTAAGAAACAAATTGCCCACTGACCCAGCTTTGAAAGGAAATGTAATCACCCGAATGTGGTGTAGGGTGCACATCGGCTCTTACCTATTCTTCCATGCTGAAGGCCAGGGTTCGACCCTTGTCCGCCGCCTTTTTTTTGTAACTACCTGAAATAGTTTCTGAAAAGGCAAGGTTCAAATGGTCAGAATTACTCGGATGTGGTGCATAGTGCACAGCAGCCTCTATTCTTGGTGTTCAACGACGTACAAGGTGAAGGTCAGGGTTCGAATGTTTTTTAAACACCGAGATGAAAAGGCGCCCACTTACAAAGCTTTGAAACGAGTGTAATAACTCGGATGTGGTGTATGGTGCACATCAGCTTTCTATCAGCAGCTAATATAGAGTCTAAGCTGAAGGTCAGGGTTCGACTCCCTGGGTCCGAATAGGTTCTCTTGCTTGTAAGGGTTCGTTTTTAAACACCGAATGAAAAGGCGCTCACTTACTGAACCTCAAGGAAGGGAATAACTCAGACGTGGTGTATGATGCACATTAGCTTTCTACCAGCCAGAAAATCATGGTCTAAGCTGAAGGTCGGGGTTCGACTCCCTGTGTCTGAATATTTCGTCTTGTTTTTTAAACACCGAGATGAAAAGGTGTTCACCTACTGAGCCTCGAAAGGAAGGGAATAACTCGGATGTGGTGTATGGTGCACATCAGCTTTCTATCAGTTGAGAAATTACGAATTTGCGGATGGTCCTATTCTTCTTGGCCAACTCAGAGGTGAGCAGTCACCCACTTGCCAAGCTTGTGATGGATGCCAATGCAGGTAGTTGGGATGAGAGGATGCAGTAGCGAGCTGAGAGAATGCCAGTGATGGATGGATGAATGCGTGTGCTAATGTGCAGATGGATGGATGTATGTGAAAGAAAAGAAGGAAAGTATGCGACGGAGAAGGAAAGAAAGAGATACATGATGAATGAATACGTGCGTATGTGGTAGAATGAATGTATTATGATATACGAACGGCGCGGTCGTGAATGTCAATGAACGCATGTCGGTGTCGGTGTCGGTGGAACAGGAGGACGGTGGAACGGTGGGGTAACCCGCAAGTAGAACATCAAACGGCGGAGTATCGGTGGTCTCGCATGCTCAAGCGAACACGGCGTGGCGCAGCATCGGCACCTGCGCGAGCGGGGCAAGCTGAGGGAGCGTGTGCGAGGGGATGTATGACCACTGAATTTGTAGCTCATGGTTGTTAGATGGCAGGAACTCTGGCAAGTTTGAGGAATAATAGGTGAGGAAAACCTGCAAACACCATCAATCTTACTAAAGGTCTTGAACAGCTCAGGATCTTTTGGTTTACTTCCACCCCACCCACAAATCTTCCATGGCCGCGACCCAGAGCTCCAGGATGTGGTGAATATTCTCATACAGGATTCTGCCCACATTGCTATTCTTGGTGTGGGAGGCATGGGAAAGACCAGCCTCGCCACAGCGGCCCTCCATAATCCACAAGTGGAAGCCAAGTATTCACATCGATACTTTGTTCCATGCCACTCAAGCCCCACTTGCACAGAGCTGGCAGCGACAATTGCAGATCATATTGGGTTGGAGAAGGGCTCAAACATGGCAAAGAAGGTTGCACATTATTTTGCCCATACTCCCCCTTCCCTTCTGGTCTTAGATAATCTGGAAACCCCATGGGAAGCCCTTTCAGCTCGCTCTGAAGTTGAAGAGTTTCTATCTCTTCTGACTGATGCCCCGCACTTGGGTCTCATGGTGAGTGATGTTTGTGAGTTTATCAAATTATACCTTGAACTTCCTGTAGATCACCCTGAGAGGTGCTGAGTACCCAAGTAAAGTCAAGTGGACCCGCCCCTTCCTGGGCCCTCTCAAGCCACTTTCCAATGTGGCTGCTCGGCAGACCTTCATTGAGGTTGCTGATGAAGGACATGATGATGCAAGCATTGAAGAACTCCTTGGGCTGACAGGGAATCTTCCCCTGGCAGTCAGCCTCATTGCAAGTGTTGCAAGTTCTGAAGGATGTGCCAAGGCACTTTCTCGTTGGAATTTGGAAAGTACTCGGATGCTTTCAGATGGGTATGACCAGAGATCGAGCCTGGATATATCCATCATGTTGTCATACACAAGTTCCCGAATGACCCCAGATGCTCAGGAATTGCTCAGCATTCTTTCCATACTACCAGATGGGCTTGCAGATGCTGATTTGGTACAGGCAAAGCTGCCAATCCCTGACATTCTTGCCTGCAAAACCACTCTGCTCCAAATAGCCCTTGCCTTTGTTGGTCAGGATCAACATCTCAAAGTCCTGGTTCCAATCTGAGAACATATCCTTAGGATTCACCCTCCCCAAAATACCTTGAAGCTGAAGCTACGGGAACACTTCCATCAAATTCTTGATCTTTGGCACCAATTCAGGAATCTCAATGTAGCAGATATACTCCCTCAAATTTCAGGAAATTTGGGCAACTTCAACACTGTTCTCTATGATGGGCTTGAACCAGAGGGGCCTGATATTGTCCAGAATTTGAGGAGCATCCTGCTTCTCAATAATTTTTACCATCGAGTTCACAGCACATATTCACCCCTTTTGCTCGAGCTTTCTGGGCAAATGCTGCATTGGAAAGACAATCAAATCTTTGGGGAATATCTCATCGAGCTATTGGAAACTTCGCACTATTTGCCCGACCTGGATCTCAATAGCAACATCACCCTAGGAACTCAGCATTTCACATCAAAAGATCCACTGGAACAGGGTGAGACACAATCACGGTCCTTGTGTTCACCTAACTAATTTATCACCAGGCAAATGGTACCGTGTTCTGGGACTGTATTTCCAGTTTGCAAAGTCAAATTCAGCAGGAGCCCTGCAGTATTTTCAAACAGCATATTCTCTGGCAGAAAGTACTGGATACCCTACCATTGTGGGCTACCATGCTTTGGCCAGCATATGTAGCATTCTTATTGTCACTGGAAAACCCTTGAGTGCACTCACACATGCCAAGGAAGCATATAGATATGCTGAGCATGTAGGGGACATCTATGGACAAGCTTGGTCTCTCAGCCTTCAAGGAAGAAGTCACATATATTTGGCAAACTATCGGCATGCTCAACATTTTCTGCAAAAATCCAGACACATCCTGGCTACTCTTGGTCACCAACAAAGTGGATCGAATCTTTCCATCCTAAATCTCCAGGCTGAGATACACCTTGTGAAATCTGAGTATTTGGAATCACGCAAGCTGCAAGTAGCCATTGCATCCAGTTGCCAGCCTACTTCATACAGTGCCATTGTGGCAAACTTGAACATTGCTGTCATTGATATTAATATTGGTGCTGACTCGAAAATCATTTGCCAAAATCTAGACATTACTCAGTCTCATTTGAAGGCATTGTATGGGCACCGTGGCAGACATACAAGTCTTCTTGCTGATTATGTAACTGCTGAACTCTGGCTTCAAGATGGGGCTCTTGGGACTGTGAATGCAATGTTTGAAAAATGTTTTGTATCATCTCAGGAGACTGATGTGGCCCTCCTGTGTCTAGAAAGGCTTGGAGATCTTTTGACTGGGATGAATGACACCCAAACTACACTGCGATGAACTGGAATCTTCCTTGGACTGGCATTGAAGCGCAAAGACAAGCTTCAGACAATGCAAGCATTCCGCTGCTTTGGCCAGATTTTTTCTGTCCATGGTGATGATGAAACAGCACTCAGCCTATTCAATGTTGCTCTAGATGGATTCACCTTCATGGATGTCCATCGCTGGCGGGCAGATTGTATGGTTCAAATAGCAGATATACTACAGGCCCGTGGAAAGGTCATCGAGGCAGTTGAATTATGGAAGACAGCCAGGCCCTTGTTTGAAAGGTCCTCTCAGATGAGGGATGTAATCAAGATTGATACAAAGATAGCCAAGGTTGACTCTGCCATTCTGGCCAAGTATGAGGAACAACTTCAACACCTTTCAGAATTGCATGTACCTGTTAGTGCACTGGAGGAGGCATACATCACTGAGGAGGAGGAGGAGGAGGAGGAGGAAGAGGAAGAGGAAGAGAACAAATTGGCTCAAGGAAGTGACATTTGGGACAAGGGGAGGCATGGAGTGTTGGTTTGAATTGTATTCTGGATATTGGATAGTCAGGGTTTGTGTTTCAATCTTATTGTTCTTTGTCCAACTTTCCACAGCTCTACCCATATTTGGACAAATACATACCTACCTGTTCTTGGTGTGCACAGCATGCCATGTCCAGATTATAGCCTTTTGTCCAGTATGTAGCCCCCCTATTTATTTATTTTATCCACATCAATGGTGATTAAGTGTGTGAAGGCAAATTAATTACCATTCCCTGTCGGGTCTCAGCCATGGAATCTGCTTCTCGAACAATCTTTTCTATTCCTCCCTTTGCCGCTCTTTTTTTCATTTTTTTGAGCCGATGTATACAGGCAAAAGAAAGTGGTACGAAGGCTTGGTAGCACTCGGAGCGCATCTGCAGATCATTACAATTGCACTCTCACACTGATCATGTACAGCAGACCCCACCCATTCGACTCGGGCCTGAGCCATGACATTAGCCCTTTCAATGCCTCTTTTATTATTATTCCTCACTTGTCACTCTCCTTCTCCATTTATTTGAGCCAATGTATACAGGCAAGAGAAAGTGGTATGAAGGCTTGGTAGCACTCGGAACGCATCTGCAGATCATTAAATTCCAGATTCCATGGTGATCATGTACAGCAGACCCCGCCCGTTTGACTCGGGCCTGAGCCATTCATCATAGAGCTGACCGTAATTTTTTTTATTCCTCCCCTCTCCACTCCCATTTTTTTGAGGGAGGTGCCGGTGTATACAACCGAAAGAAAGTGGTATTAAGGCTTAGTAGCGCGCGGTGCGCATCTGGATCCTGTCAAGAGGCGAAAGAGCATGCAGTCCAGACGTTGGACAAAAATCAATCAATCTACAATCCCAACGTAAACACTCTGCTTCTCCTGATTTGCATCCACAATATCTTCTATGTATTCCTCTGCTTCTGAGTCTTCATCAATGTGTGCAGCTCCTAAATCTCCGATTGGCAGATTGTGTTCAGTCAGACAGAGGAGCTGTTCATTGTGCTTCTCCAGAAGTACTGCTTCAGTTGCTGCAAGTTTGGTATCTATCTGCCCGACATCCCTGGTCTGTGACGATCTTTCAAACAGCGGTCGTGCTTCTGTCCATAATCCAAGGGATGTCATGACCTCCCCTCTTCCTTGCAGAATGTCAGCAATTGAACCGTGCAATCTGCTCTCCATTGATGCACATCCATGAATGTGAACCCGTCCAGAGCAACAACAAACAGACCGAGAGGCAAAATCTTGCCAAAGCAGCGGAAAGCTTGCATTATTTCCAGCTTTGTTTTTGCCTTCATTGCTAGTGCAAGGAATATCCCTGCCAAGTCAAGTGTGATTTCAATGCTGACCATGTAATTGGCAAGATCGGCTAGACATTGCAAGTAAAAAAACCGACCATCAAGCCGGATATCTTGAAATAGCCAAAAACATTTTGTAAATAGGGTATTTGCAGTGACAGGATCTCCATCACAAAGATAAAGAACTGCAAATCCTGTTTCAGCCATAAGGCTGTGGCAGTCCAAGCCCGGCTGTTATTCATTCCCTTGATGTGGAAATGGTAAGTTTCTAGATTCTGACAAATGGTTGTGGTGTCTGCACCAGTGACAGTGTCGATCAATGCAATATTCATCAGACTTTTTGCAAAAAACTTGTGGAGCTTTTTTGGGCTCCAAAAAAGCCCCCAAAAGCCCCAAAGTTGTGAAAGTTGGAAACATAAAAAGTTCGGGGTCATTTCCGACAAGCTCTGAATATTTTTTTCCCCATCATTGCTATGATGAATGATTCTGCATTTCTGACCACTTAATTTTTTGAAAAAAAGGCCGAAAAGTCCAAAAAAGTCAACAAGCCCACAAGTTTTTTGTGAGAAGGCTGATGTTCAAGTTTGGCCAAATTGTCTGATATTTTTTGGCTGGAAGCTGGAGCCCCTGTTGTCATACGAGAACTTGTGAATGACAACATTATTGATATATCTAGGCTGGATCATTTGTCATATCCATCTGAAAGCATCCGAGTGCTTTCAGACTTCCACCGTGATTGATAACCTTCTTTGAGAGGTTAGGTGACCTCTCCATCCCAATATGATCCAATAAATTCGGGAATTGGAATGCCCGGGATCAAATGTCCGGGATCAAACGACTGACGGACATTGATGGCGGCAAGATTTGCGGCACTTTCAAGCTCCGCTCACAACAAACAATGGCAGTCACAAACAACCCATTTTCGCTTCCTGCCACCATCCTCGTCGCTGCGCCCCCACTCGTCGCAAATCACCATCGTGCTTTCGCCCACCATCTCGGCGGGCAGCATAAACCAGAAGCGCGGGGTACACGGCAAGCAGCGAAAGAGGCACGGGGTGCCTGCAAGCCGCGCCGGTACGTACACATGCGCTCGTCCCAAAGCCCACACCCACGCGACACAAAGGACGACGTCAGGGGTGAGCGCAAGTCCGGGCCGCATTGGTGCACGCGCTATGAGGCTGGCGAGTCCAGGGCAAGGGCGCGAAGTCTCTGCCATGGCGGGCACGCCGCTGCGTGAGCGCAGGTTGGTGAACTTCACGTGCATGCTAATTGGCGCATTATGGCCCCGTACATTAAGAATGTCCATCTTGTATGCAGTGCGCACTACCTATTCACTGAATCTTATGCTTTTTTTTGCTGCTTGAGGAGCTTAGGAACCATTGGCGGAATTTAAACAAGTGTGTCATAGGAGCATTCAAACTCCGAAAATGTCTGGCTGAAGCTCGGCCAGACATTTTCCCGGACATTTGATCCCGGATTTTCCATTTCCCAAATGCTCACTGTAAGACCCAGACCGGGCTTTTTTCACCCGGTATTTAATCCGGTGGCTGGACTCTTTTAGTCCGTTCAACCGAGGATATTCACCCGTATGTTAGCAAAATCACCCGCCAAACGGGTTAAAATACCGGTGAGGACCGGGTTAAAAACGGGTGGAAGCGGCCCGAAAATCTTTCCTTTTCACCCGTTGATTTGGTGCAAATGTAATGGCTTAATGTAACCCGTTCGGCGGGTTGTTCTTGAACGGGTGATACCAACTCGATTACCAGGCTATAATTACTTGCTCCAATGCCTTCAAATGTCGCGCGGTATAACCCGCTGAACTGATCATTTTCACTCATATATGAGTACATTCATAGCTACATATACCAGTATATGCCACCAGTCGGCACCAGAAAACCGAAATTGCAGAGAACAGCCTGCAATAATGTGGTGAGTAAAAGCATAAAACAGTATATCCGAGACATACCGTCAAGCAACAGTGCCGTGAGCGGCCGCGAGGAGGTGACAATGACCTATAAAAACGTTGTAAGCCCACAGTACAAATGCAAGCCCAGAACATACATTCATTGGTAATCGCTGCTGAATCAAGCCACAGGCGGCGACAGGTGCAAACAGGCACGTCATTTCATATAAGAGTGGGACCCATTCCAGGTAGATGTTGCTGAATCACAAGCACAAGTTCCAGAAGAGCCCACTGAGTCCATAAAGACGTAGGCAACGGTCCGCAGCAAAGCAGTAGCAGTGGCTTGAATTCTTGAATAGGGCAGATAATCTTGAACTTCTTGATGTATATTGATGGCTTGCGGATAGAGGAAGCACATTTGAGGATCCTTCGAGAGCTGAATGGCGCGAGGGGGTAGAAGCGGATGGGAGGATGAAGGCAGGAAGAGAAAGCGATGTGTCAATCAATATCAACCCCACGTGCCAATGATTGATTGTCGGAGTTTGAATGGACTTAGCAAATATCTTCTAGGTGCGGAGGTCAACGCATAGGAGGGAGGAGCTCCCATGGTACTGGTGTCTATTGTATTCAAGAGAACCTAGTGCATAGCAGACATAGATGCGTAGAACTCAATTTTCAAGACCGGGTGAATTTCACCCAGTCGTGGTGAACGAGGCACAGTAACCCGGTGAGCGGGGCCCACCAATGGGACGGGTGGAAATCACTGCTTCATTGGGCGACTTCAAATCACCCGTTAAACCAGATCAACCTCACCCACTTTGGTTTCACCCAGTTTTCCCCCGAGAAATGGTTGAAGTGTGATGTTGATCCGGAGACCGGGTGAAAAAAACCCGGTCTAGGTCTTACAGTGGCTCTCATATGATCAGCAATGGACACCAGCTCAACACAAATGGGAGTTGAGTGGTATGGAACAAAATATCTGTGAAAGGAATGTAATAACTCGGATGTGGTGTATGGGGCACATCAGCTCCGTATTGAGATCGCTTGGTGCATCTGCACATGCTGAAAGTCAGGGTTCGACTCCCTGCATCCGAATGACAGTTCAAAATTTGCCCATTTTTTTTCTTCCGCAAAATCCTCTTGTTAATTATTCTAGCTCCACCTTTTGTTTCTTGTGCTCGGTTCTCGTCCCATAATGAGCCTACATGCACTTGTCGCAGGTTGTCCCACTTCTGCAAGATAATTTTGATGGGCATTATGCTCCACAACCGTTTCCCGAAAGGCCATCGGATTTCACATGGGGAATCCTCACCATGTGAATTCCAATGGGCTGAAGTTTTATAATTTTTGAGCTTCAATTGCGCTCGCAGGAACATGGCCGAGGTGGATCGACCAAATACGGGCTTATGCAAGACCATCAAAAACAGGATATGCTTTTCTGGTGGCCGCAAATCCACCTGGAATGCTCTACACATCCCGAAGAAGTACTTCTTATATTATGCAAAGTGTCTCGCTTTTTCCATGGGGACTTTCAGCTCGTATTTCAGCTGCTACATCGATATCTTGCATAAGTGGGCTCCTATTCCATGACCACAGCGTCATCATGCACCGCCACATATTTTTAAGGCGATAGATTGTGCCAGTACACTGTACACAATTGTTTCTACCCCAATTCTACTGCGTAGCCCGAGGCACAACTATTGCGATTATGATGCAGCCCATAACGACGACGACGACCACGATGATGCCGACGCTCAAGACGATGCAGCCCTCCATGGACATCTAAGCCCAGGCGCCACTCAACGAGAAGCAACAGTACCTCCACGCACACGACGACGAGCAGTGGCGCGCGCACCCGCATGCCCACTCGCATGCGCACCAAAACCACAACCACGTCCTGCGGCGCGGACTCCTCCCGCGCTGCTGCTCCTCCTCGGCCTCACGGGGCTGCTCGCGGTCTCATGCGTCGTCTCTGGTATGCATGCGGGTGCAAGCGGTGGTGTGGGCGAGGGGTGGCTGAGCGAGCTGGTGAGCCGCGGTGGATGACGGCCCTGCGGGACCTAACATCGAGTCCGACTTTACGAAGCGCAAATGTACGTCTTTCTCCCTTTGTGCATGCATTACGGGGTGCTAACGCGGAAAGCCAGGCTGCCTCATCGTCATCTTTGTCGGCCTGCTCGTCGTGCTTATCCTCGGCGTCATGCTCAGTGCGTGGTGTTGCAAGGGTGCGTATTACTGTTCTCTCGCTGTCCAATATCGGTTCTAATGCCGATGGGTCAAGGCCATTCGAGAACCCATGCTGCTGCCCGTGCTACCTCTGCGCGTGCTGTGGCGGTCTAGGTGAGCCGTCTCGTCTTGGCATCCTCCACTTTCTTTCTCTTTTTGTTCCCTTCCTCCCCTTCCCTTGCGTTTCCCCGACCCGTTGTATCCCTTATCGCCCGCCTTCTTTTCTTTTGTGTGGCAATCGCCTGGAATCGCGAACGCGTCTCGCCGGCGCGTCTCCCGTCTCCATCCGCGGCACGACGTCGTACATCAGCCATCGACCATGAGGCGCGTACATGCTGCGCGACCAGCCTGCTATTCCCATGCAGCATCAGCTTGTCCTTCTTGGACGGGCATGAGCGCGCGCTACCTCCCAACTACCTTTCGTACTCGTCGGCGCGGGATTCGCGCTGCGTCGATCGTTGGCGCGAGCTTTACGCTGTGTCGATGGTTTGTGTCTCGTGGTGGCGGTGGTGCACCATGGGATGCGCGCGCGCCGTGACATATGAACCTCATTCGTGTCTTGCGTCCTGCGTCCGCTGGCGATTTACGTCGGCTGGGTACGCGTCTCGCGCGCTGCCCTAGCTACACGCCGTACTTGTCGGCGCTGGATGTGTGCGGCGTGGATGGTCTGCGCCTGCGCGTCGTCGATGGTCCTCAGAGGGTACGTCATGGCGGCGGATGCGCCCGTGTGCTGCCGCGTCGTCCTGGGTGGGCGCGCGTGCTGCTACGCCTGGCTAGTACGCCGTGTGACGGCGTAGCCAACGCTGTCTTTCTCTCTCCGTGTCTGCGACAACGGTGCGTGACGGCGTCGGCGTGATCTCGTGGGGTGACCTCTTTTTGGGGCACACCGCTCTTGCTGCGACGTCGGTCTGGCGGCGTTCCGTCAGCGTGGGGCGCGACCGAGCGAGCTCCTGCGTCGGTGCACGGTGTTGGTGCTGTGTCGGCGTAGCTTCCGAGCGCGCGCGCACGTCGTTCGCTGGGCGTGTCGGTGGCTTCTGCGTCGACGGTGGGTGCGTGGAGGTGGTGCCCCTTCTGGCTGGGGTGTTCGGTGCGACGGCGTACTCCACCCTGTCGTGGGTGCTGCGATGATTGGACGTGTCAAGTCAGGGGCGACTTTTTGTCTTGGGGTGGACGCCGTTATCGCTGCGACTCCGTGTGACGGCGTTCTGTCGGCGTGTCGGCGCGATTGTGTATCTTTTGGACGTGCTAACAAGGGAGCTCCAGCGTCGACTACGGAGTTGGTGCTGCATCGTAGCGGGAGCTTCCCGTCTGCAGTGAGCGCGTCGTTTGATGGGCGATTCTTCGCTCGCCCCACCCTCGCTTCGTACGCACTTCCCACCCCGCGGTCCCCCGCGCATGTGAGCGTCGCTGGGAGATTCGGTGGGCCCACGTCTACAGGCTTACTTGAGGCTCGATACACCAGCCTTGACCGTTGACTGGGGAGGAGGGTCTCGTGCTTCGTCTGCGTCGTTGAGATGTGTGGCTTGGCGGCGCATAACCTCTCTCCGCCGAGGCGAGTGTGTCCGCTGTGTCGAACGTAGCGGGGGAGATGGCCCTCCTGCATTGAAGCGGGCCTGATCCTCTTTTTTCCCCGTTTGTGGCCGAAGGGGAGCGGTGTTGGGAGGAGCGTAATGGGACCCGTAATGGGCTGGGCGGACGTGTCTCGTGTCTTGTTCCTCTGTTTTGTGAAAAACAAAAGTTATACTCCCCGCATCCAAATTACCTCTGAAGCCTTCCAGTTATGTCTTCCAACCCCATGATCCTATGCCTGCAGTAACACGCTGTTTGTGCCTTTAGAATATGATGGTCTGCAAACATATTGCATGCCAACATATTTCTCTTTGACTTTGACCGAGATAATAAGAAGGTCATCTCCTTGGGCCATCAGAGAAATTCTGACGCCAGTGAGGAACATATCATCCATCTCGGGCATCATCGAGAGATCTGACAAGAATAGCTTCCAGAGTACTGGTAATGCAGGATCTCCTGTTAGAAGTCCAATCAACACTTTGAATATTTCTGAGTGCATGTCGCCATGTTGCACATAGTAGGACATTTTAAATTGGGCTGCCCATTGAGAGCCAGTAACAACTTCAACAAATTTTATCCAACAGACCATCCTGGCCACGCTCTATGGCTGTATCTTCCCCGACGTGTATCACGGTACTAGGTTCCGTGGGGTTGTCGGCTGAAAGCGTGAGTCGACAGTATATTTCGTCGACAGCCGTGCCTGCCGACTGGTGTCAGCTGACAGCACAGGTCTGGAGTTGATCAGCCGTTGTCACCCTCGGTGCTGACACATGTCGGCACATGTCAGTATTTGTCCGGCACATGCTGCCGACCGCGTGATTCTTGACTCCGTGTGCCTGGAGTTGGACATGCAGTCTCACAGTTTGGCATATCCATTGATAGTAATCTAGAATTGTTGCAGTACAACAGCATTTGTAGGATAGATAAGAGTAACTGAGTTTTGGCTCTGCACTCCTTGTTCCCCAACCATGAAAGTCCCAACACAACTCGAGAATCTAATCCAGTATACAGCAATGACAGTGAGCACTGTTGAGGAGATTGCACGATCATCCCAGATTCCCTTCTTATCCTCAGCCGCAGCATTGACTTTGTCAATTTTGAAATGTGTGGAGGTATGTCCAACCCATGGCTAGTATAAAATATCTTGCTCATGAAGATAAATATAGGCTGTCAGGTCCAACAGGGACGAGTGGATGATAATGGTTGAACAAATCCACGAGATCCTGTGTGCTATCACAAGGCTGTGCTCCATGTCAGAAATTAAAGGGGTGCTTCCAACAGCACTCTTGTATGACATTGCAAAATTCACTGAGTATGTTGACATTGTATTTTTCTGGATGACACACAGTGAGACATTTGGCAGAACACTTCAAAAGATCTTCACCTTGCTGAAAGCACAGCATAAAATGGGAAAGATCAAACAACTGTTCAAGCAGCCTGATAATGCTGGGAAAATGGAGATGTGCAAGCAGGAACTCCATAAGGCCATCGGAATTTTCAGGGTACATCTGATGGCAATGAATCCCAAGGCATCTGTGATCTCATTACTGAAATTCATTCAGGTCAGAGCTGGGGGCTCAACACTCTCTCAGATAGGGAATATGAAAAAAGATGCAAAGCAACAGCATGATGAGCTTATGGTGCTCCTGAATGCCCATCCAGACCTTAGCAGTTCAGATCGCTCCTCTGTTAGTTGCAATTTCAAATCAGACTCCAGTTTTCCAGTTTATGTATCTTATTTAGGTGATTGGGACTCTATCAAGTTCCGGAAAAAGGTTCGTTATCAGGGAGTGTAATAATCCATGGTGGCTGATTTTCACATTAGTTCAGGTTCATTTAGTCTGCTCCCGGCATCTCCCAAAATCTTCCATGGCCGTGAATCAGAGCTGAAGGATGTGGTCAATGTACTCCTCCAAAATTTCGCACGTGTTGCCATCCTAGGTACAGGTGGTATAGGAAAAACCAGTCTAGCTACTGCAGCCCTCCATAATCCACAAGTGGAAGCCAAGTATTCACATCTATACTTTGTTCCATGCCACTCGAGCCCCACCTGCACTGAGCTGGCAGTAACAATTGCAGATCATATTGGACTGGAGAAAGGCTCAAAAATGGCAAACAAGATTGCACATTACTTTGCTCATGCTCCTCCTTCACTTCTGGTCCTTGACAATCTGGAGACTACCTGGGAAGCACTTTCATCCCGCTCTGAGGTTGAAGAGTTCCTATCTCTCCTGACTGATGTACCCCAATTAGGTCTCATGGTGAGTGATGTTTGTGAGCTTATCAAATTATACCTTGAACTTCTTGTAGATTACCCTGAGAGGTGCTGAGCACCCAAGTAAAGTCAAATGGACCCGCCCCTTCCTGGCCCCTCTCAAGCCACTTTCCAATGTGGCTGCTCAGCAGACCTTCATTGAGGTTGCTGATGATGGTCATGATGATACCAGCATCAAAGAACTCCTTGAACTGACAGGGAATCTTCCACTGGCAGTCAGCCTCATTGCAAGTGTTGCTGGTTCTGAAGGATGTGCCCAGGCACTTTCCCGGTGGAAACTGGAAAGTACTCGGATGCTTTCTGATGGGTATGACCAGAGATCAAGCTTAGATATCTCTATCATGTTGTCATACACAAGCTCCCGGATGACCCCAGGTGCTCAGCAGCTACTCAGTATTCTGTCCATGCTACCAGATGGCCTTGCAGATGCTGATTTGGTGCAGGCCCAACTGCCAATCCTTGACATTCTGGCCTGCAAGGCCACTCTGATTCAAACGGCCCTTGCCTTTGTTGACCAGGATCAACATCTCAAAGTTCTGGTTCCAATACGAGAACATATCCTCCATGCTCATCCTCCAGCAAATGCCTTAAAGCTAAAACTACGTGAACACTTCCATCAAATTCTTGATCTTTGGAACCAGTTCAAGAATCTCAATGTAGCAGATATACACCCTCAAATTTCAGGAAATTTGGGCAACTTCAACACTGTTCTCTATGATGGGCTTGAACCAGAGGGACCTGATATTGTCCAGAATTTGAGGAGCATCCTGTTTCTTAATCACTTCTATAAACGTGTTCAAGACACATATTCACCCCTTTTGCTGCAGCTTTTTGGGCAAATGCTGCATTGGAAAGATAATCAAATCTTTGGGGAATATCTCATCGAGCTATTGGAGACTTCGCAATATTTGTCTGGCCTGGATTTTAATAGTGACATCACCCTAGGCACTGAGCATTTCACATCAAAAGGTCCACTGGAACAGGGTAAGACACAATCATGGTCCTTGTGTTCACCTAACTAATTTATCACCAGGCAAATGGTACCAAGCTCTGGGAGTGTATTTCCAGTTGGCAAAGTCAGATTTCGCAGGAGCCCTGCAGTATTTTCAAACAGCATATTCTCTAGCAGAAAGTACTGGATACCCTACTGTTGTTGGCTTCCATGCTTTGGCCAGCATCTGTGGCATTCTTATTGATGCTGGAAAGCCCTTGAGTGCACTCACACATGCCACAGAGGCATATAGATATGCTGAGCACATAGGGGACATCCATGGACAAGCTTGGTCTCTCAGCCTTCAAGGAACAAGTCACATATATTTGGCAAACTATGGGCATGCTCAACATCTTCTGCAAAAGTCCAGACACATCCTGGCTACTCTCAGTCACCAACAAAGTAGATTGAATCTTTCTATCCTAAATCTCCAGGCTGAGGTACACCTTGTGAAATCTGAGTATCTGCAATGTCGTGACCTGCAAGTAGCCATTGCATCCAGCTGCCAGGCAACTTCACACAGTGCCATCCTGGCAAACTTGAACAATGCTTTCATTGATATTGCTACTGGTACTGACTCAAAAATCATCCACCAAAATCTAGACATCACTCAGTCTCATATGAAGGCATTGTATGGGTACTATGGCAGACATACAAGTCTTATAGCTGATATTGTAACTGCTGAACTCTGTTGTAGAGATGGCACTCTTGGGACTGCAAATGCACTGTTTGAACAATGTTTTGCATTGTCTCTGGATTTTGACACAGACCTGGCACTCTTATGTGCCGAAAGGCTTGCAGATCTTTCCACTGGTATGAATGACATTCCAGCTACACTGCGATGGACCGGAATCTTCCTTGGACTGGCATTGAAGTGCAAGGACAAGCGTCAGACAATACAAGCATTCCGATGCCTTGGCCAGATTTTCACTGCCCACAGTGATGATGAAACAGCACTCAGCCTATTCATGGTTGCTCTAGATGGATTCACTTTCATGGATGTCCATCGCTGGCAGGCAGATTGCATGGTTCGAATAGCAGATATACTACAGGCCCATGGAAAGGTCATCAAGGCAGTTGGATTGTGGAAGACAGCCAGGCCCTTGTTTGAAAGGTCTTCTCAGATGAAGGATGTAATCAAAATTGATACAAAGATAGCAGAGGTTGACTCTGCTGTTTTGGATGAGTATGAGAAACAACTTCAGCACCTCTCAGAGCTGCATATACCTGTTGACGCAGCAGAGGGGACATACATTGTAGAAGATGAGGAAGAGGACAAATTGGCTCAATGTAGTGATGCCACAGACAGGGGGAGGCACGGAGTCTTGCTTTGAATTGCAGCCTGGATCTAGGATAATCAGTGTAGTCTTGTTGTTCTTTCACTTCAACTTTCCACAGCTCCACCCATATTTGGACAAATACATACCCACCTGTTCTTGGTGTGAACAGCATGCCATGTCCAGATCATAGCCTTTTGTCCAGTCCTATTTATTCATTTTACCCACATCAACAGTGATTGAGTGTGTGAAGGCAAATTAACTACCATTCCCTGCAAATTATCGCCGATGCAGCCTCAAACCATCAAACTCAATAGTGTGCTTCATATTTATACATTCGAGATAGGGTATGTGCAGTATGTTTATTTGTATATTTCTTCTATTTTGTGATCATTCCAGAAGATTTGGAGCAAGGGATAAATGCACCGAATAAAACTCGTGAGACAGCGGATCTGTATTTTTTTTCAAGGTTTGCAGTCAGCAATAAGTCGCAATTATAATTTTTTTTTAAAGGTTCGACTCCCTGCATCTGAATCCTCCCTCTCAAGTTATCTCAATTATTTTTGGTCCCACCAAATCCATTCTCCTGGCACATATCCAACGGTCCTGACAACTCGGACGTGGTGTAGGCGCACATCAGCTCTTTATAATGATCATAGTGCAAGCTGAAAGCCAGGGTTCGACTCTCTACATCCGAATCTCATATTGCTCGTATCTCTTCTTTTTTTGGCTTCCACCAAATCGTCTCCCTGTCATTCAAATGGTGGTGAGTACCTCCGAAGGCTAGGGTTCGATTCTCCCGGCCGCATCCGATCCATAATTTTCAACCACCTCTCTTTGTGTTGGCTTCAAATTGTCTCCACTGGTGCGTTTTCAACGGTAAAGAATAACTCGGATGTGGTGTGCGGTGCACATCGGCTTCATATACATAGATGGGAACATTCCTCCCATGCTGAAGCCTAGGGTTCGACTCCCTGCATCCGAACTCACTTGTCTGCTAATTTTTTTTTGTAACTACAGCAGCTTCTATTCGGTGTGTTGGACCCAAGTATAAGCTGAAGGGCAGGGTTTGACTCCCGTATCTCTTGTTTTTTAAACACCGAGATGAAAAGGCGCCCACTTACTGAGCCTCGAAAGGAAGGAAGTAACTCGGATGTGGTGCATGGTGCACATCAGCTTTTCATGTTGCTTGCAGCTTCTAACATGACATAAGCTGCTGAAGTCCAGGGTTCGACTCCCTGCATCCGAATGGCCTTTTCCACAATTTTCTTTTTTTAAAAGAGACAAAATTTCTCACTCACCCAGCTTTGGAAGGAAATGCAATAACCCGAATGTGGTGTATGGTGCACATCAGCTTTCTATCAGGAGGCGAAATGTAGTCTAAGCTGAAGGTCGGGGTTCGACTCCCTGCATCTGAATTCCTTCTTCCCCCGGCCTTTTTGTTTTAATTACGGCTCCCCCCATCCCTCATCTTGCGTTCTCCATATCTCTCATCCGCATCTCGCGCCGATATCACCACCCTTGCGCGGCTTCGCATGGACTTCTCTGCATTTAATGCCCATCGATTCCGGTGCCGTCTGACTCCCTCCCCAGCCTGTGAGGCATGTGATGCAGCCAAAGAAACGTTATTCAACAAAATCCTTGCCCTCAATATCCCTCTGGCATGGTTCAAATAGTGAAGAATAACTCGGATGTGGTGCATGGTGCACATCAGCTTTTCATGCTGGCATGCTACATGACATAAGCTGCTGAAGTCCAGAGTTCGACTCCCTGCATCCGAATGGCCATCCCTACTTGCTTCTTTTTTTAAGAGACAAAATTGCCCACTCACCCAGCTTTGAAAGGAAATGGAATAACCCGAATGAGGTGTATGGTGCACATCGGCTCTTCATGCATATGCATCACCTCTATTCTCCCATGCTGAAGGCCAGGGTCAACTCCCTGCATCCGAACTCCCTTGTCCGCTGCCGTTTATTATTATTTTATAACTACCCGAAATCGTTTCTGAAAATATGCCTCTGGCAAGGTTCAAATGGTCAGAACTACAATGTTCCACCAGTCAGTGAAACACCCTGTATCTAATCTACACTACACAATCCTGTCTGCCAAACTATTTGATAATCATGTTTCCTTCTCAAAAAATGTATTCACCAACTCTCAGAATATATGGTTTAGGGATTGCCCTGCAATGAGGAAAGCAAAAATCAATGTTTGGCAGTGTATTTGATCCACCAGTCAGTGAAACAGTCAATGTACCCCATTCCTCTCTCACGTCTTGGCCAATGTGCCCAGAAAAAATACTGAATGGGAAACAGTGACATAGAAATGCTTTGGCCTCCTCAGAACTCATTAATATATTTCATGCAAATGGTTATGGCCTGTATCATTTGACTGTTTCACTGACCGGTGGAACACTGTACTTGGAAGTGGTGCACGGTGCACAGCAGCCTCTATTATGCTGTGCAGCGTGAAGTAAAGCTGAAGGTCAGGGCTCGACTCCCTGTGTCCGCGAATATCTTTTCTTGTAAGGGTTCATTTTTTAAACACCGAGATGAAAGGCGCCTCTTACTGAGCCTCGAATCTCCTTACTAACCTTTGGGACCGATAAAGGCTGGATAACTCGGCCTCACAGCCTTGTAATTTCTTGGCATCAGATAGCGTCACCGAAAATGGCCCCCAGGTTCCGGAACAAGTATTGGCTGCTGTAAAATCTGCAGATGAATTAAAATAGTTATTGTAAGCCACCATACACTCTGTCTCCCAGTCGTACCCCCATTGCTTGCAGTTAGTCAAGCAGCGTAACAAGCGCATGGATGTCAAGTCAATCTCCTGCCAGTCGACGTTCTCCCGCAGTCCTCAGGGCAATTAATTCCCACTGCCACATTCCGACTTTTAAAGTCTGGTTCTGCGCGCCTCCGCTAATATCATCCTCATCCAAGCGATGGCTGGCAACCCAACCACAATAATCGTGCTGGGCCCTTCTCCCGAATCATACTATGTCGGCTATGGGCGACGTCACTTTGTCGAAAATATGTCGCCATCGTTTACAAACCATGCCAAGACGGCGCTGAACATCAGCATGAGTCGGTGGATAAGGTCTGCCTACCCGCTTATGCCGCGATATTTGCTCACAGGCTCGAGAGTGTAAGCAAGAACGGCGACTGGATTGACTACAACCTTGCCACCGATCGATGTACGACAATATCAGTCAAGCCGCTATCTTGCTCCGAACTGACCTCGATTGCAGTCCACTTCAACGCAGACATCGACCAAACCATTCGCGACCACCTCTCCGGCGCTAACGGCAAGGCCGCTGCAGAATTTGTCTCCTTTCCCGACAGCGAGGAGCGCAGCTACTTCTTCGTCAACTTCCAGAACCGCGGCGCGTGGTACTCCGACCTCTCGGATTACCACGAACAGCGCCTGACAAGCCTGCAGCGCGAGGTGCCAAATTTCGACGTGGGAATCACTGGCATGCTCTTCGGGAAGGGAAATACGAATATCATCTGCTTCCAGGCTGGGTTCATGGCGGATCTCGACGACGAAATCGACTCGGAGGACCATCCGCTGCACAAGGTGAACCACAGAGGTATTGCATTAGCAAAGCCCATTTACACTGATCCCGGGTAATAGGTACTTTCTGAATTTAGCAAGGAGGAAGGATGGTGCGTCGAACGCGGGTCGACGCTGTGTTGTTACGACAGCCAGTTCTACTTTCTAAAATTCAAGAAATCTGGGGACAACACTATTCACATGCGGTGGAATCTCCCCGACCACATCGCCGCAAAGCTTTCAGAGCTCAAAGAAATCGCACAGAAACCCGAGGAACAAATGGGTATGTGATACCTCAATTGACATTCCAAATCTCATTGTATGCAGCATTGATGCAGGAAGACCAAATGTGGATGCAGCTGGCGCAGACGCGGATGGTGCGTATTTCTCGTAATTTTGCCTTGCAATCAAATGCCGATGTTCGCCATGCAGAACGGTCAGATCCAGCTGAGCAATATGATGAGCCAGAACATGCAGCGTGCAGGCCTCAGCATTCTTGCTGTGGCGACCGGTGGAACAGTTGTGGAAGAACAGCGATATTATTGACGACATCGCCGACTCGGAGGCATATCTGTAGACTCTGCTTGTAATCTTCTAACTTTTTTCTTCGCAACGCAGAGGCGGATAGAGTCTCTCGTGAAGAGGTATTATTAACCCACAATGGTCACTCCAACAAGCCCACGTATTCGTTCGGCAGGACAGGTATTCAGTTACCCTACCGACATTGAAACAATAGGTAGCTTCACAGTTAAATCAATTATCTTATGTATTGTCTCAGTTCAACAATTATCGATACCTGGCAAGGGCTTTCAATGTTCGCCCAGGTCCCCCATTAATATTTAGATGTTCAATCCGGCTCGGACTCGCGGACGAGGTCTGGACCTAGCGGCTCTGCAAGTCGCTGGCAAGAAAAACGATGACAGATTTAATTGCCTGCCCATTTCTGACTGAGTCTAACTCCACAGACATTCTCGGCATCGGCCGGCATCCGCGGTGGCTGTGTACTATATCTCTTCCTTAGCTCTTCTCCAGTCGCATTTGGAACTGTGCTTTATGGCGCCTGGGGTCAAGCATTACATACTTTGCGACTCTTACTAACTCCGTCGTAGCCCAAACTCCCCAAACGAGATGTACACACTTCGGTTCCCTCACCAGCTCAGGCTTCCCCGGTCTCTCTGCTTCAAAGCGTAAATCGCATATGGGCGGTGTACATATAAGAGTCGAGGGCCAGTCACACGCATTAGCCGTACGCACGTCGTTAAGACCATGTCGCACGCACTGCTCACCGAAGCGCTCACCCTCGACTACATTGGGGCGAATACCACTATCCCCGTTCCTCGTGTGCACCGTGTCTTCAAGAATAGCCGCAGATATCTCAATATCGTCATGGACTACGTAGCCGGCACAGAGCTCAAAGCACTGTGGGACGACTTGTCGCCGGCAGACCACTTAACTGCCATGCACTAGCTCTGCGATTACATCACCCAGCTCTGTCAGCTCACACCCCCGCGCCCCGGAGCCGTCGAAGCAGTCGACGGCAGCCCGTGCAAGGACTTCCGCGTCCGCCCCGATTCATTCGGCCCATTTGACGCTGTCGCGGAATTCCAGGCGTTCCTTGGGCGCGACTGAATCGTGGAACACAGGCTCGCAAAATTCGAGTAGTACGTCCTAGCACTCCAACGCTGCGTCGCGCGTTCGTACCGCACCGTCTTCACGCACTGCGACCTGGCGCTACGGAACATACTCATGCAGGGCACACGTATCGTGGCAATCATGGACTGGCAGATGGCTGGATGGGTATCCCGAGTACTGAGAGTACACGCAGGTGTTCTTTTCGAATCTTAATCACCCTGTAGGTTTTTGGGAGCTTTTAGAACAAGAGGCGGTTCCTGAAAGGTATCCAGACCAGCCGATTACTGAGCGATGTCTTGTTTTGGAATTTGTACGTTGTTAGGTGGCTACAATTTCATTGTTTCTTCGTTGAGTTCCTCGGCATAATCACTCAATTCAATTTAACGTTGAAACAAGGACAAGGGACGGTCGGTGTGAAGATACTGTATGTGTATAGGGACCTGTGCTATGCTTCAACCTTTTCTCACCATGCCCTGCAGCTGTCGAACTGTGGGTGCGGTGAGATCTTTTCTCAAAAATATGCGCTGGCAATTAAAGGTTCAAATGGTAGCAGATGCCGTGGATGAGGTGTATTGTGCGGCTCCTTATGATGGGAATTCTATAATACCAATAGAGGTTATTGGTTAGCTTGGTTTGAAACTTTTTCAATTATCTGATTCGACTCCCTGCATCCGAATTTGCCGATGGTCTCTATTACGAGTCCTAAGTTTACTTAGGTAATCGTTCTTTACCAATCTTTCCTACCCACTTTTCTTCACATCATTCAGACAAAAAAGATTGACTCACCGTGGGATTACCGTTACTGTGGTTTTTTATGCGGGTGATCTTTCTTTTAGTGTCCTTGATTACATTGAGGTTGTTGCCAAGACTGGGAACCGACGTAATGAATGTGAGTCAGATTTCTGTCCGTTTACTATTTGTTCATCTTGGCTTGTGGGCCAATGCTTCGCATGGCAGTACAAGTCCAATCCAGGAGTCTATGCGCTTCCCAATTAAAAGACGAGATTAATTTTAAATAACTGATCCGTATTTTTGTAGCTATGACAAACCAGAACTGAATAGAAA